CCCCCTCCTCTCCCCGCTCCTCCGCCCCGGCCGCCGCGCAGCCAGGGGGCGTCGCGCCCGGAGTGGGACAGGAGCGCGGGCCTGCGGGGCACCCCCACCCCTCTCGGCTCCGGCGGGATCCCAGGTCCTCCAGGTTTCCAGGTCCCCGAGCCCGCGAGCTCGTGCTCCCGAGCGCGCCGCCGCCGAGCCCCAGCCTAGCCGCAGCCCCTGCTCCCCGCGCGTCCCGATCCCGGTCCCACCGCCACCGCATTGCCGCGCCGCCCCGTGACAGGTGTCCCCGCGGCGCCCAGCGCTCCGCTGAAGGGGGACGCAACCTCCCGACCCCGGCCGCTCCGCGCCCGCTGGGGCTTGGCAGGCGTCTTGGAGGAGGCGCAACTTGCACCCGGGCCCGCGCGCTGAGCCGCTGCCTCCCGGGCGCGCACGCCGAGAGGAACGGGGTGCTCGGGTTCGGGAGGCCACCGCTAGGGATACCGAGGGCTCCGGTCCTCTCTTGGGGAGAGCCGTGATCAGCGTTGGGTGATGGAGACAGCTCTAAACAAGGGCTCACCCATGTTTAGTGGTTTTATCCTGCTTAAATGAATGAAAGGGAGAAAGCAGGACTCCACATTTTAAAATGCAGGTGCTTTTTTGCCCTGCTCTTCCTTCTCCCGTCCTCCCTCTCCTCTATGCACTTTATTATATCCCGAACACTTCCCTGGTCTTTTCGGTCAGGTTTGTCCTGGCCGCGGCAGAGCCATGGTTGTGACCACAGATGTGACAGCATAGCCCGGTGGAGGGGTGCAGTGGAAGCCGAGAGTCCCATTCTGACATCCTGGTGTGTGGTCCAGTTGGGAACCAACTATAGTAATGCTAGATTAAGAACCAGCGCGGAACAAAACAGCTCTTGGATCTCTTATGATAACAAAGCCTAAGGACAGTATTAGATTCTGCTTCTTCTGTTCTCTGAATGGAAGGCAGATTTTGCTAATGCAGGACCGTTACTCTTTTCTGGGCTGCAGTTCATCAAAGGGTAGGAAATGTGGCTATATAAACTTCACGATAGCAGTTAATAAATTGAGCTACTTAAAGTTTTCTCTTTCAAGGGAAAATTGTTGGGCTCATATATGTGATATTTGCAGATCAAAGAACTGAACCGTTTCTTTCAGCTCTCATGTTTTAAACCCTAAACATTTTCTTGCCTGTCTCCTGGAGACGCTGTTTCCCAGATTAACCATAGCTGTCATCTCTTAATGAACTAGAACTGTGAGTTTAATCTTCGAGGCATAAACATAGGAAATTTAATGCTGTGTCCTTTATTTATACATTTTTAAGTAAATGTTTTGCAAGTTGGACACTCACAAACTGGACCCGGTAAATAAAAATGTGTTTTTGCTAACAATAATGACAAATTGACAAATGTTATGACATTCAGCAAGCATATTAAAGTATTTGAAAAATGCATGTTTATTAGCTGCCATTAGCTGAATGCAGTCTGGATGTTAGAAATTGGCTTTACAATATCTTCACAGCAGTTGCTTAGTTTATGTATGTCTCATCAGATCCCTTTCATAAATTGCTGTGGGAGGGAGATGATTTGCTCCGTGGAGTACTTTTTGGGCATGAGCATTATAATGCCTTTGTATTTAGCCTTGTTACCAGTGCTGTGTGTACGACGACCTGGTAGGGCGATTTTTGTGCTGGGATTGCCTGCTTCCTGATTGTGGTGAGAGAAGACACTGCTCTGTGCTCTTTGTTCCCCGGTGGTCCACACCTCTGCAGTGCAGCAGCTAGATTGGCGGGGCAGCCAGGGATCATGGAGAGGAAAGGCCTTTCCCCCCATATTTTGGCCATTTGGTGTCACGGCAATCCAACCATTGGGATCACTTCAGTAACCAATTAAGTAAGACAAGCCCTGACAAGATAATGTATTACCTGGCAGTCTTCCCCTTCCGGAGACAAATGTACAGCACTCAGAATTAGTACTACAGCAGTGATTAGGCTCTTGTGACGCACAAATGAGATTTGTGCTAAATCCCTCAAACAAGCTACAAGTCCATGTGTAGCTGCATCTGGCTATAAGTTCATGAAAGTTCACAAAAGGAGTAGACCAAGTTGTGTAACAAGTATTTTCCTATCTCAAGGATAAAACAGAAGTGTGCCCCTACTTAGTTTAAACTTTTCTTTGCAGAGCTTATAGGGCCATGTATCTTTATAATTTTTTTATACTCAGTTGTTCTAATCACTTTCAGTCTAGCACATAAATGATTGGAACATTAGCAAGTTATCACCAGATAACATTTCCTGATGTTTAGATTTTAAAAAATGTCTTGTGGCAATGAAAAGTCTTAATTTCAAGAGATTTTTAGACAGGGAAGTTGAAATGATATTTTGAGGTGAAAATGGAATTTTTGGTAATTACCTCCAAGTTCACCCCCACACTGCCCCAAGCCACAGAAGGGTTAGTAGGTAGGGCTTGCAGCTCCTTTACCAAGTGAGAAATGAACAGTTTCCTTTTTAGCATTTGTGCTGTCCAGTAGAATTTTCTACAGTGTAGCAGTGTTCTATAACCTGTTACCGTAGCCATGTGTCACACGTGGCTACTGAACACTTGAAACATGGCTGGTGCACCTGAGGAACTGAATTTTACTTTATATAGCTTTAATTAATTTAAATGGCCACATGGGGTTAGTGTCTATCCTATGGCACAGTGCCACTGCAAATTCCTTCCCTGTTTCCTGTGGCACTACACGGCAGTGATCCTTTAATTAGAAGGAAATAGAATTGGCATTGATAGTACTGGGAACTGAGGTTTGACTCAGTTACCCTGTTTGATGAAAAGCACTTGCTCTGAAGAAGGTGCTTATGCTGACATTCAACTCTGCTCTCGGAACATGGGGTTTTCCTTTCTGATTTCCATATCGGCTAGCTGCAGAATAAGCATGGGAGAGGGTGGTTGGCTGCTTGGCCTCCTGTTCATGAACTTGAGTATTGTTTGCTCTTTTGTACAGGTAGAGGCCACTTATTCTTCAAGCTGGTTTCTGCACTTTTTCACTTTCCAAGGTGGGGAAGGGAGACTGGGAGAAACACAGGAAGTAGCTGCTTGCACACAGCCATCTCCCTCCATCCGCTGACACCCAGAGACCCTCCGAGCAGCTGATCACCTACGGGTACCTGTGGCTCTGGGACAGCCAAAGGCCTACGCCTTGCTTTCCTGGGCCTTTCAGTCTGGTTTCTTTCTCTTGAGTCTCAGACCCAGATCCCCTTGCTCAGTCCAGCCTGCCGATTACTAAATCCACTTTACAACATAACCCACCATTCTTTTTTGTAAAATTATTAAGATGGAATTTGATATAGTATCTACCATGTTGTTTCCATTTTTAGCTAATTTGCTGTGAGTAAGACCAGTATTTTGGCTTGATAGAGGGACACATTTTGAATGAGGTTGTTTCACAGGATGCTACCTCTCCTGGTTCTTGGGGTGAGTGACCCTTTTCACCTGGCAAAGGGCACTCGAATGCCTCTCCAGGACACAGTTCAGGTCCTGGAGGGTCCCCTCCCCTGGGAAGGGATGTTATTTAGACATTTGTCAAATGTGTTTGGTGTACTAATTAAGATACAGGGTAAAATAACAACATTGTCTCTGCCCTAACGGTATTAATCCCCTAGGGTGACATTTCCCAAAGTCCTGTCTACACCACAAGGTGATGGGGACTTGAATAAATTTAAGAAATGTTCCATGCGATCTGGCAGTATGGTAAAGCCTCTGAAGTGAAGTACATATAGTTAGCCTTTTATCCTTGTTGGTATTTTCCAAAAAAATTCTTCATACAACACCATAGTACTTTTCAAACTGTAGGTCTTGGGTCTTGAAATCAATTTAACAGAGTAGGACCAGTATTTTCCTTATGAAACAATGTGGCATAGAATAGAAGTAGTCTCTGTGCATCTTTCTTAATGAGGGTTTCTAGTGTTTGATGAAAAAAAAATTTCTTTTTGAGACAGAGTCTCACTATGCAGTTCATTCTGGCCTTGAGCTCACTGTGTAGCTCAGGCTGGACTTGAACTCACAATGATCCTCCTGCCTCAGCCTCCCGAGTGCTGGGATTACAGGTGTGTACCACCACGCCCAGCTGATGAAATTTTTGGTTCCTCCATGCATAACAGAAATAAAGCCAAGGCAGTGGAAAGTTCTGGTTATGAGCACCAATGAAACAGGACCTCTGGACTTAAATCCTGATTCTGCACACCGCGGTGTGTGTTAGGCAGAGTTAAATACTCATGTTCATTATTCGTGTTATCATTATATAAGTGTATGTGTGTATACTGAGTCATTGCCTGTGAAACTAGGCTGGGACCCACTTCGGGAAACATTGATTTAAGGCAGGTAGTGGCTCGCAATGATCCGTGCTGACCAACTGCTCCATGCCAAGGGCTCTAGTGTATTACTCTCTTTTTCATGACAGTCCTTGGACTTAGGCATTGCCATTGTCCTGCAGGACTACATTCCAGTGAGTAGTGAAGGCAGAATCTGAACTCGAGCAGCTCACAGGCCAGATCACGTGTTCAACCACCCCACATCGAATATCGCAACATGATAGCATCACGCAGATGGGGTCTGCAGGCTTGGGACGCTTAGACCTTGTACAGCACTGTGCAGATGCAGAAATGAGCTGACAGTGCTTCTGTTCTGTGTAACACGA